CCTAAACATTAGATAGAATCCTAAGTAACTACCCAGTCAGTCCAAGGACAGATAGATAGAGCTATCACATGTCTCATATGTGATAAACCACCACCATCACCAGAAAAGTAAATGGTAGCCAAGCAAGGCCGACGAGTTCAACTCTGCACCATGGAGAGGTGGGGGGGGGAAACAAAACAAGCTTTCTATCCCAATTTTGCACCAAACCTGCACAGAATGGGGGTAGAGAGCAACGTCTTTGAGGAGCAACTTCCCATTTGGCGTCTTTTAGGTGTGTGCTAAACTGCACCGTCACCGGCCCAAGAGAATAGAGCCAAGAGGAATTGCATGATGGGGGCTGTAGTCCATATCCGGGGGACCCTAGAGGAGGAAGGCTTGTGCACACTACTGTACCTCTCCTCTAGGGAGATTCTCCGTCATCCAGGTCATGGTTGTCCCAAAGGTGTTTTTTCACGAGGCAACTGGACTGTCTTGTTTTTAATAATAATAATAATAATAATAATAATAATAATAATAATAATAATAATAATAATAATAATAATAATAATAATAATAATAATAATAATAATAATAATAATAANTGAGAACAATTAACCAGTGGAACCACCTGCCTCCAGAAGTTCTGAATGCTCCAACACTGGAAGTTTTTAAGAAGAAACTGGACAGCCATTTGTCTGAAATGGTATCGGGTTTCCTGCCTGAGGAGGGGGTTGGACTAGATGATCTCCAAGGTCCCTTCCAACTCTGTTATTCTATTCTATTCTATTCTATTCTATTCTATTCTAGTCTAGTCTAGTCTAGTCTACTCTACTCTACTCTACTCTACTCTACTCACTATACTCTATATTCCATATTCTATTCCATCATCATCATCATCATCATCATCATCATCATCATCATCATCATCATCATCATCATCATCATTATTATTGAGCCGCCCTGAGTCCGCAAGGAGAAGGGCGGGATATAAATATAAACAATAATAATAATAATAATAAAATAATTATATTATTATCCTCAGCTTGTGGCAACTTTTCCTTTAAAGTCATCTACTGCGTCACAACTCAAAACTCTATTTGTGGTAGAACTAAATAGGGAAACGCACTTCAAATTTGAGCAAGTGTAAATGCCAGTGAGAACAGATCTATTTTCTCTGAAGAGGAAAAGATGGGAAGCTAGCAAGATAATGATAAATTACCTAGGAATAGTGGAGGATAAGAACTTTATTGTTACTGCACCTCAGAAGAAATTTTGTAGAACAGTTGAACCTAGGCAGCAGATGCATATAAAATATATAAAATCCGCTGAAGATGTTACCCAGCCTGGTAATGAAACGTTCGGAAACCAACCCAAAAGCTCGGAGAACAAAGTTTTTCACCTTCATATATAGCTATGTGTAGGAAGGGATAAGGGGAAATTCTTGAAGGAACATAAAATCACGAGAGAGAAAAAACAAGAAGGAAAAAACTGCCTCTCCAGCAATTTAAATTTAGATGACTAGTGTTGTTTTTTGTTTAATAAGGCCTCGCCAGAATACATATTAACTCAGATCCTAGTTACTGTCTTACTATGCTGTATTTCTCAATTCAGTACAGCACATGGGAGACAGATCCCATTAGAGTCACACAACCTTAAAAAGAGCAAAAAAACTCAGTTTCTTTATAGGCCATGAACTGACAATTAAAACCAGTAATTTAATCCACAACCAGTAATTTAATCCACAATGAAGTCATTATTTAATTCTGTTTTTTTTTCCCCACTTGGTTCTCTGCATCGGCAGGATTGGCTGGGAGTTATGGGAGTTGAAGCTGAGATATGCTGAACCTGGGCAAGAATATTTGACATGGTACAGGTAGCCCTTGACTTATGACCATAACAGGGCCCAAAATGTCTGTTGCTAAGCGAGACAGTGAATGTTGCCCCGTTTTACAACCTCTCCTGCCACAGTTATTGAGTGAATCACTGCAGTTGTTAATTTAGCAACACGGTTGTGAAGTGAATCTGGCTTCTCCACTGACTCATAAGAAAGTCACAAAAGGGGATCACATGACCCCAGGACATTGCGACCGTCATAAATATGAGTCGGTTGCCAAGAGTCTGAATTTTGAACACGTGGTCGTAAGTCACTTTTTTCATTGCCATTGTAACTTAGAACGGTCACTAAATGAACTGTTGGAAGTTGAGGACTACCTATATAAAATATCAGATGGAAGGAGATGAACGTCCCATATTACTGTGTGTATCCCCCTGTGTTCCATAGAGCCAAATTGAGAATTATTTTAAAACTGATGCTTATTCATTTCACAGGATCCAAAAGAACAGCTACCCCTACCCAAAGTTGAAATCAGAGTCAAAACTGGACTGAATTAAATTACACTGCATTCAAAATTCTGAGCAGAATTTGGCTGAAATTAGAATCAACAGAAGAGATAGAGAGACTGGTAAATGATTTAGATCAGGGGTCTTCAAACTTGGCCACTTTAAGACTTGTGGCCAAGTTTGAAGACTCCTGATTTAAATCAACACACGTAAAATTATAAATAGAAATGTACTTCTCCAATAAAAACAAATAAATAGAAATAATTAAAAGTGCATCTAAACACAATGTACAAATGTAAACAATCAATTAAGTGGGCAGCTACAGTTACAGTAAAAGAGATGTTCAACAGAGCTAGAGGAGAAATACCTAAAAGCTACTTAAAGCAAAGTTGCAATGGAACAGTATTAAGTGACGTTCAGAGAAAGAAAGTCAGATTGATCCGACAGTAACAATTGGAGATAAAAGAAGCCAGAGCAAGAATTAACAGAAAAAGGAGGTGACATGTTAACCCAGCGGTTCTCAACCTATGGGTCGCGACCCCATTTGGGGCCGATCGACCATTTCACAGGGGTCGCCAAGCAAGGCTGTCCGCCATTTTTTTTGTCTGCCATTTTTTTCCCCTTTTCCGGCGGGTGCCTTACCTCCCTTGAGCTGGGCCAGCTGGTGGTCGGCCTGCTCCGTCTCTGCCGCTTGCCAGCTACGCCTCGGCCGGCGCAGGGGGCGGAACCACGCATGCGCGGCGCTCCCGGGCAGGGAAAGTCCTCGACTTACGACCGGTTGGGTAGTCCTCGACTTACGAC